TTAGGCTATATAATGACTAATAAATTACAGAATGTTTAGCAAACACTGAGGAATCAAAAAAAAAAGAGAGAGCCTCCATAGCATAAGGTATGGAAGCCCGTTTCTATGGAAGCCGTTTCCACCACTGAATTAAAAAAAAATAGGAAAAAAAAGGGGTAATTGCGAATTTTATCTCACAATTCTGACTTTTTTTCACAGAATTGTGAGATATAAACTCGCAATTGTGAGATATAAAGTCAGAATTGCCAGATACGAAGTCACAATCGCGAGATAAAAACTCGCAATTCTGACTTTTTTTCTCACTCGCAATTGCGAGTTTATATCACGCAATTCTGACTTTTTTTCTCACTCGCAATTGCGAGTTTATATCACGCAATTCTGACTTTTTTTCTCACTCGCAATTGCGAGTTTATATCACGCAATTCTGACTTTTTTTCTCACTCGCAATTGCGAGTTTATATCACGCAATTCTGACTTTTTTTGTCAGAATTGTGAGATATAAACTCGCAATTGTGAGATATAAAGTCAGAATTGCCAGATACGAAGTCACAATCGCGAGATAAAAACTCGCAATTCTGACTTTTTTTCTCATTTTGGCCTATTGGTCTGGATTTACCCTGTCCTTTGTGGTTGACCTCCCGAGTTGCAATGACCTTGTTGAAGACGGCAACGAGTGGCTCGTTCTCGCCAATGACACGAGATGGTATGAGAGGAGACATGATTAGCTGTCTCTGACGGATGTACGTTTCCATGGCAATCCTAGAAAGAGAGAGTCCAAGAGGAGAAGGACAAAATTGAAGAAAAAACGCCTAGGGGTAACAGTGTATGATGGACTCTGCCAAAAATAAACAATAATTTGTGAAAACAACAAAAAAAACATGAAAACAGAAACTACAATCATGCAAATGAAGGATGTTGTAATCTCATAAAGGACACACTCACTGTTGAAACGGGATGAAATACTGCTTACATTCATCATCAATATTCCCATGGGCAATATCTGTGATATCCATGACTGCAGACACAAAGAAACATGAGGCTAGTGCTGATCCGAACCACAGATACATTACATTTAATAACTACATTCAATATTGTTCACATTCCCTTAGAGGGAGAGCAAATATCTCGCATTTTGAAAGTATTTGTTTTCAGATGTATTCGAAGGCGAGATATGTGGCGCAAATTGTTCATTTTGTCTTCCTACTGTACAGTTCTTAAGAGATTAATTTCGAGTCTACAGGAACCTCAATTATTAAATCAGTTAAGAAAAACAGCATCTTTTCTGTGAAAATGATTGCTACCAATAATTGCTTTTGAACAAAATTAATAGAATAACTCACTAAAAAAATGAAAATTTGCTTTATTGACTATTCAATATGTAGATGAGTTTGTTTCTTCATTAGAACAGATTTGGAGAAATTTAGCATTAAATTACTAACTCACCAATGGATCCTCTGCAGTAAATGGGTGCCGTCAGAATGAGAGTCCAAATAGCTGATAAAAACATCACAATAGTCCACAAGCAATCCACACCACTCCAGTCCATCAATTAACGCTTGTGAAGTGAAAAGCTGCAAATCCATCGTTATGGCATTTTTTTAACTTCAGACTGCTGGCTAAAATACGAGTCCTCTATCCATAATATTGCTTTCTCTAGTGAAAAAGTTGTCTCATCTGAATCAGGAGAGAAATATGCACAGACCAAGCACCGTTTACAAGTGAAAACAGTACAAAACAGTCCTAAACAAATATATCTGTGGATTTTGATGTGAGAGGACAACAGGGGATGGATTTTTCACTAGAGGAAGCATTATTATGGATTATGGATTCTCCACTATTTTGGCCAGAAGCAATGATTTAAAGTTAAAATTCTGATGGCACCCATTCACTGCAGGGGATCCATTTGAAAGCATGTGATGTAATACACAATTTTTCCAAATCTGTTCTGATGAAGACAAACTCATCTATATCTTGGATGGCCTGAGTACATTTTCAGCAAATTTTCATTTTTAGGTGAGGTATTCCTTTAGATGCAATGTCTTCTAGCTCTCTAACGGAGTACTTACAACCATGAAAAACGGAAAGACATTTTCACAACGAGGTAAATCAGGTGCTGCCTGTGCTCAGGTTTAAGAAAGCCACAGGCTTAACATGATGCAATGTGTCTTTGAAGCTTATGGTAAAAATAGCTTTTTTTCATCTTGAAAAACACAATGCAGGCATTCAACCTGACGTTATTGAGTACAGTGACTCAGCAGCAAAAAAAAAAAAAAAGGGTCAAAGAATTTGACACAACATCCTTTTGAAACAAAAGAAAACTATTTTCAGCAAATGCAGGTCGCCTGTAGGTTTGATAAAAACATCTATTGACAATGTAATCATTTCATATGACATTTTGGAGTTCAACCAAAAGGAAAAGTAACAATAGTAATGTTTGGTCTTTCAGCTACTTGCAAGACTGAAAACTTTAAACTGAAATTTGATAACAGGAAAAAGAAAACGGAACAGAACACTATAAGGTGTGAAACATTGTGTGAGCTTGACTGGGAAAAAGTCATTCTTTTCATCTGCAAATTGGCAATACGGATAAATAATGTCTTTTGCTCAGATATTTGACAATGCGAGGTAGTGCCGAAAGTGACAAGGACAAGAGTAAAAGTGCTGTTGTCAAAATACTAAAGAAGCAATATGGTGTGATTCTCTTGATGCAATTAAACCTTTGTGAACACACACGTCATCTGTAGGGTTAAAATCTATTACCACACAAAATGAAGTTGACTCATCCCTCAAGATCATGAAAACAGATGAAAAATGCCCTTGGAGTAATGCACTTAGAATTGAAGCCCGACAGCCAAGACAGCTGAACAGCTTAAAAGCAGAAACGTCTGTGGGGTTGTTCTTAAAGCACTTGCATGCATTCATCAGTAGAACAAAATGTATGTTATTTGAGCTGTAAAGCTGTCTGAATTGTTATTTTGAGGTGGAAGAATTTCAAGGAATAGTTCCCCTAAAAATGAAAATTAGCTGAAAATGTCCCCTTGGGCAATCCAAGTTTGTTTATAAGAACAGATTTGGAGAAATGTAGCATTACATCACTTGCTCAGCAGTGAATGGGTGCCGTCAGAATGAGAGTCCAAACAGCTGATAAAACCATCAAAAATAATCCACACCACTCCAGTCCATCAGTTAATGTCTTGTGAAGTAAAAAGCTGCATGTTTGTAAGAAACAAATCAATCAAGGCATTTCTTAATTTCATTATTAAACGTTACATCTAACTAAAATATTAGGCCTGTATATAATATTGCTTTCTCCGGTGAAAAAGTTTAAATCAGGAGAGCGATATGCACAGATTAAGCACCCTTTACAAACAATAAAAAACATTTAAAACAGTCCTAAACAAATATGTCAATGGATTTTGATGTGAGAGGACAATAGTGGATGGACTTTTTCACTGGAGGAAGTGTTATTATGGAGCAACAGGTTGAAGTTAAAACCCCTTAATGATGGATTTGTTTCCTACAAACATGCAGCTTTACTTGTGGATTATTGTGATGTTTTTATCAGCAGTTTGGACTCTCATTCTGACGGCACCCATTCACTACAGAGGATCCATTGGTGAGCAAGTGATGTAAATTTATCAGAATCTGTTCAGATAAAGAAACAAACTCATCTACATCTTAGATGGCCTCAGAGTGAGTAACTATTCAGCAATTTTGTATTATGATTGAACTATTCCTTTAACCAGAACTAACTGTCCATCTATGGGCAAACACAAGGTTTGGAAAATCTGACTGAAAATAATTCTATGCAATTTTGCAACACTAAGCTAGTGGCACAAAATAATTTTTTACCATTAAGGTTGGTTGGTGTTTCTAAACAAATTACAAATATGAAGTGTGAAATGAAGAGAACAACTAGGAAACATCTGAACCCTCTACAAATATACCATCTACTAACAATAAAGAATCTATTTCTAAGTGCAGAACCTGCTACTCCAAACGGCCTCCTCAGTCCTCCTGTGTGTTTCTTTCCCTCCTTCAGCTCCATGCAGCCCACACGGATGATCTGACACACCAGGAAGAGACGCTGTCTGATAAGGTCACTGCTGCTCAGATCCTAAACACAGAGACGCAACAGCAGGAAGCACTTAAAATTGTTTCATTATCACAAAGAAAAAAATCCAGTGTTTTTTTCTTCTTCTCATTTTTAGATCTGCCATTCAAAAGTTTGGGGTCAAAACCTTTTTAATACTTTTATTCATCAAGGACATTTTAAATTAGTACTGTCAAACGATTAATCATGATTAATCGCATCCAAAATAATAGTTTTTGTTTAATATATAAGTGTGTACTGTGTATATTTATTATGTATATATATATATATATATACACAGTGGGGCAAATAAGTATTTGATACACTTTTCAAAATATATACTGTATGTGTGTGTATTTATATATATAATAAATAAACAGTACACATACATATATGTAAACAAAAACTTTTATTTTGGATGCAATTAATCGCGATTAATCATTTAACAGCACTATTTTAAACTTTTTTTAATCAAAAGTTAAGGCATTTATAATGTTATAAAAGATTTTTAGTTCAAATAAAAGCTGTTCTTTTGAACTTTCTATTCATCAAAGAATCTGAAAAAATGCATATAAAATTATTTTGAATGAGGATCATGTGACACTGAAGACCGGAGTAATGATGCTGAAAATTCAGCATTGCATCACAGGAATAAATTACATTTTTAAACATTCAAATAGAAAAAAGTTATTTTTAACTCTTTCCCCGCCAGCATTTTTTTAAAAAGTTGCCAGCCAAGACAATGACCTTAAGCACACAGCTAAAATAATGAAGGAGTGGCTTCACAACAACTCTGTGACTGTTCTTGAATGGCCCAGCCAGAGCCCTGACTTAAACCCAATTGAGCATCTCTGGAGAGACCTAAAAATGGCTGTCCACCAACGTTTACCATCCAACCTGACAGAACTGGAGAGGATCTGCAACTTGGAGGAATGGCAGAGGATCCCCAAATTCAGGTGTGAAAAACTTGTTGCATCTTTCCCCAAAAGACTCATGGCTGTATTAGATCAAAAGGGTGCTTCTACTAAATACTGAGCAAAGGGTCTGAATACTTAGGACCATGTGATATTTCAGTTTTTCTTTTTTAATAAATCTGCAAAAATGTCAACAATTCTGTGTTTTTCTGTCAATATGGGGTGCTGTGTGTACATTAATGAGGAAAAAAATTAACTTAAATGATTTTAGCAAATGGCTGCAATATAACAAAGAGTGAAAAATGTAAGGGGGTCTGAATACTTTCCGTACCCACTGTATATGCTGTCATTGCTGATGATCGCATAATTTTTTTTATATGCATCTGCTTACATAAGAGATTGCTCGTTTCTCCATCCTGTACACATGTGTTTTTGTTCGGGAGGTTTTGTACTCGTTCAGAAGATGTGTAATAGCGCCCCCTCATGTGTAACAGTGAAAACACGAAAAGCCGTAAAAACTCGTCAATGGCGGGGAAAGAGTTAATTGTAATAATATTTCACAATATAACTGTTTCACTGTATTTTTTATCAAATAAATGCAGCCTTGCTGTGCATAAGAGACTTCTTCAAAAGTCTCACTGACTCCAAATTGTTGAACCGTGGTATATGGGACTATAAAAACCTGAGAAAAGTATTCTTTTAATCTTTGTTACCGTGAAGAGTGCAGGAAGGTTGTTGAGTTTTTCTATCTCTTTCGGCATGCCTGTGCTGTCCCACCGTACCAGGAAGTTTTCACTTAAAGGACAAGACAAAATGTGTCACAAAAACTACTTTTTCTCCATTGAAACTGACACAAGCTCACTAGATACTCGCTGTGTGATATATACTGGTGTACTTCAGCTTTCAAAGAAATACGCATTCACATATTTCAAACACTTCTTGTGAGGAATTCATATGTAGAGGATATTCTACACATTTCTCCTTCAGCTTTTTAAAAAAGAACATAGAGAAGAAAAAAAATCTAAAGAAAGTGACTGACTCACCTAATAAATTCAGATTTATCAGGATCGTACAATGACATGAATAGTTCAGCGTCCTCGCCGATGTTGCATACAAAGTTTCTGAGATTTATTAGAAGGCTGTATGTGTGCACGCTGCTGAAGAGGGTCTGGCGCCGCTTCTCCAGGTTCTGAAGCCGCATCTATCGAGAAAAAAAAAAAAAAAACACGGTAAAATTCATGATTTGAGACAACTAGTGGACAGTTTGACTGAAGTTCTAGAACACTTTCAAAAACTGAAACACTGCTAAAACAGTAGAGCATGGCACTAACAATGCCAAGGTCATGGGTCATATTTTAATTTGCAGCTTCTCTAAATGCAACTTCGCACAAAGAATCTATCAGTATGTGCATCAGTTATTTTGTGATAAATGTTTGTTATGCATCCGTTTATCTCCATTTATTATGGACAATGGTAGTTTTGTGGTATATATGTGGTTTATATATATATATATTTGACAAATAATTAGGCCAAAGTTGCTTATTTATTTGTCAAATTTCAAAACAGAACAGCAGAATAACCAACCATAATTTTCTCTTTAGCAGACCGTTTGCACCACTTTGGCTCAGTCAGCGATTCCTGGCATTTTTGCATTGCAATTCGAACCATGCATTTATACATTTACCCGCCAACTATCGTAATTACTCATCAAAGCTAATTTGGCAATAGTCATGTGCTAATTCTGGACCTGGGTTTCAACATGCAACTAAAAAGAAAACATTTTCCTGGTACCAGCATATATATTTTGATAATGCACAGAGCAAAAACAAGTGTTTTACCTTCTCCTCCTGTATCCTCTCATCAATACTGTGTGATGCTGACTCGTGGGCCCTGAACAGACTGACCGTGCTCGTGTGTTCAGGGTCTAATGTGTTTCCTGCTTCATCGCGCACCACTAAATCAAGCCCCAGAATCCTGTGCAACAGACACAGACAGAGTCTACAACACAAGAATACTAACACATCCCTACCATATTATCATAATCGATTACATACAGTTTTAATGCATTCCAGCAACTTAAATTGGGTAAACTCAAAATGTATGCTTCATGGTATCAGTAAATCACATATTCAGACATTTCGGCCCCTCAAATGAAACGTTATTCAAATATCTGTTTGGTGAAACAACATGAGGAAGTACAGGAAGCCAAACCGCACCTGTTCCCATAATCGATTTTTGCTGTGACTTTCTTCTTGAGCGCCACAAGGTCATCGTTGGGAAGCGTGCCGGACACAATCTGCGAGCGGTACTCGATCAGGCTGTAGGCCATCTGCTGAACGTTCCGGAACAGCGTGGTCTTGTTGCTCTGGTGTGCAGACGAACAGGTGATTAAAACGATATCATGGCTTACAAAACACTACGGATGGGATTTGTCTTTGTTGAGCAAACACATCGTGGGAAGCTCTGTGTTGAGCAGAAAGGACAGTGAGGTGAACTCAAACAAACTGCAAAGGCGACACAGGTGGGTTCACATACCACATAAAGCTTGTGCCATATTTGTGTCCATTCTCGTAACGTGGTGCCCAGCTCCTGGACCAAGGGCAAATCTGTAGGTACAACAGTCTCTTGTTTCCTGTACATCAACAGAAGGTTAGAAGAAAAATATGATTTAATCGGGTTCTCAAAAATACAAATGTCATTCACAGTTCTTTAACCCTCAGAGACACAAGCATTGATGTAAATTCTTTTTAAAATGTCTTAAGGAAGCCATAGTTATATATTAAAAAAAAAACATTGCATTTACAAAATTTGAGAGATACATAGGGCTGGTATCGTTCAAAAATTTCCGATATCGATACCGATACCTTGACTTCGATACCGGTTCCTGAACTATACTTTTTTCGATTACCAGTTTTATGAAATCAATTTGAACAATATTACATTATCTAAAAAAAAAAACTTTGGTTTTATTTTTCAGTTTGTTGATGTTTTTTTGTGTTCGTTTTAAAATGCATAGCTCAGACAGAATCATGATTTCTATTTATTTTCCACTGATTTACTGATGAGCATTAGCAGCTTCAAGCTCTCTCTGCTTGTGTTCTCTCTTCCATGATCGCTGCTCTGACTCAGAGGTAATAACATATTTAATTTCAGCAACATTACATGGCCAAAACACACATTAGACGGCAATCGGAAGTTATTACAAACACTCGATGGTGGTTTAAAATGAGTTTTGAGTAAAAGCGTAATATAAATCTTATTTATTGTCTTAGCATGATGCTACGGTTTGCATGAATGGTCACATAACACGTGCTTTCGGACGTGTAACGTGAACTGACATCTGCATATGATCGGAACTCCACGCAGCTCCCGCGCTACTCTCCATTGGAAACCAATGACTGAATGACCGGTCTGTCGTTTGTTGGAGATAGTGGAAAGCCGGCTTGAAACGCAGTGGAAACGCCAGTATGACGAGGATCGTTTTCATTTTAAAAAAAACGCACCAGTGTAAATGTAGCCTTACATCTATGGGGGCTGGGACGCATTCACACTACAGCCTCACGTGTGCGCCACATCTCTGAGTGTAACTGGTGTAAACTAGTAGGTGTGTTCGACTTGACGCAGACTGACTGTGCAAACCGGTCGGTGTATTACAGTACCACGAGAGCTAAGAGAGCAGACTGCTCCGTGCGCTTTCGAATCGCTCTCGCGGATGTCAAACACTGATCGATATGTCATGTGTTGCAGGCTTATTGGCTCACTGACGCTGATGAGATTAACCCCTTAGGTATCGAAATTTGGTTCCAAACGACGAGACGTTTTTCGATACTCGATGGTATTCCGGTAGGTGCCTAAAAAGTATCGAACTCGATACCCAGCCCTAGAGATACATTTGCAAAATTGCAGAGCAAGGCATTTAGGGTTGCAAAGTTCCACCAGTATTTTTTGATTCACTAAGTTTTGAAGTCACAACACAATTCAGCATAGTAAATAAAATATTTCAAGCAAAAAATATATTTCAGTAAGGATATTCACAAAAAGCTAAGTTTCATTATTTGACCATTAATTTAATGCAACAAGTATTCATATCAAAGTATATTTTATAAATAATGTATTAATTTTATTACAAAGGTATTGATATATTAAAATAAAATATATATAAAAATTGTATACAGTATATAAAATATATATTGTTATAACAAGACAAAAAAAAACTATTTATTGGTAACACTTTACCTTATTCGGAAGACTTTACAATAAGGTTTCATTTGTTAACATTAGATTAGTTAACATGAATTAACAATTAACACATATTTTTAAGATCAAAAGTTACGTCTGTTTATATTAGTTAACACAATGTGAACTAACATTAACATGACCATTTTTATTAACTAACATTAACAAAGGTTAATAAATGCAGTAAATATATATATTGCTCACTGTTAGTTCATGTTTTAATTAATGCATTAACTAATGTTACAAAATGACACTAAAGTGTAACCAAATCATTTTTGTAACATTCACTGAACAGGCTCATTTGTGTGAGAATTTCAGGGCATGTAAGTTTGGTTTGATTTAATTGCTACATACTGCATAAGCCTTCTCAGAAAGCTGGGCTACAACTCATATATGTTTATCTCTGTAAATTTTCATGATCCCAGAATATTCATACACCTCACCGACCTTCCAAACTAACTCAAACTGCACATTTAGAAGCCTACAGCGCAGTTGCATTGACCTCTATATAAGACTTCCTATTTAAATTCAGCACACCCATCAAACACCCAATAAACTTTCATTAGGCTACATCAAAGTCATTTGGAATAATTTATGTATTATTTACTAAATATACTCAGTCCACATTTCTGCAACAAGCTGCCTCTTATTTACAGAGGTTTATATATATATTCTATCACTAAACATAAAAAAAATATTTCAGGTAAAACACATACTTAGAAGATTGCAAAATTTGGTCCAAAACACTGAGCAAAGCATGCTGAAAGAATCAGGCTATATTTTCTTGCCAGATGTGTTGCTAAGATACATTTCTGAGCATTTTAACCCCCGTTTATGAATTATGCATTATTTAACTGCTTTGAACAAGTGTTACAATTGTGCTACAGTGGTCTCTGAGGGTAAACGAGCAAAACCATAAAGCCAACCGCAGATGACTGTTACCATGGACTCCTCTGACAGCACATGCTTAATTAAGTGATAGACAATTTGCCATTAATGAATTACAGAGCATAATTAACGTGATCTGCCTCTTACCCTGTTCCCTCAACTTTCGCTTCTTTCAGATGAATATAGTTGGCAGGGAAAATGCCCTTTGAAATAAGACAAAGAAGCATATGTGAGAACCCACGCAATTCATTCCGCCTGCTGCAGAATGTCAGGTAATGATTAGATTGTCAGTTTATCAGTAGGATGATAATTATCCCAACACCTTTTGTGATTTCTGTCGTAGTGTGTATCCTCGGTACCACCCTGGGAGAAGGAGAGAGAGAAAAAAAAAGAGCAGATCTTTGAGACAGATGATGCCACATGGCAGATGCTGCTATATATTATTTATATAACAGAATAAGGCAGATGTTCTGTTTGCTCAGAGTTAGCAAAATCACTAGAGACACTAGGGTAGATGTAAATAGCCAAATCAGGTTTTCCATTCTAAAAAAAAAAGGAAATGGAATATTTTAAATGAAAAAATATAATATTTACAAGAGGAGAGACATGAATGCAAGTACTACAAAGACACTCTGTATTGTCTTTAAGCCATGACTTTCTGAGCTGGGGGCGTGTAAATTAAATAATCATGGTGGCAGCTGATTGGTACTGATAATAATAATGGTTTCTTAGTGAAAGTTGATTGTACAATTTAGTTTGTGTGCATTTTGTGTGCCGTCGAAAAAGAATACTATAAAACTTTCCAAAAAAAAGTTAATTTAGGGAGTTTACGAGGAGAGAGACTTTAATTACCTTTCCCACCATTCTCTTTTGCAGAACAAGAATGCTAAAATACAACTAAGTACACAATGCACAATCATTTGCTACTCATTTTGTTGCACAGGTGCTTAAACATTTGTTGTCATGTAGAAAAAAAGAGAAAGGTGAAGTTGTCCAGTGTTTTAATCAAAACAAATCTCACTTGAATGCACATCATATATTTTTCACAGAAGGACTGAAATTTTGAGATCGGATGGTTGTTTTCTTTTAAAGCTGCACATGGACAGCTAATTTAAAAACCCTTGTTTTAGCACAATGCTTGATTGACAGGAGACTAGGTGGCCCATCACTGTTGTCTGAGACACTTTGCATTTACACTACAAATGCAATCTAGTTACATGTGTTTTTGCCTACATCAAAGAATAGTTTGAGTCATCACAAAACATTTTGGATGGTGTTTATGCTACAATTCAAAAGTTTTTTTTAAGAAATCAACACTTTTATTCATTAAATTGATCACGTGACACTAAAGACATTTACTGAGAAACATTACAAAACATTTTTATTTCAGATAAATGCTGATCTTTTGAACTTTCTATTCATCATAGAATTCTGAAAAAAGTAATATGGTCACAACATATTAGAATTCAATTCAATTCAATTCAAGTTTATTTGTATAGCGCTTTTCACGATACAAATTGTTGCAAAGCAACTTTACAGCAAATTAAGTTTCTACAATATTTAGTGGTAGCTTATCAGTGATGACTGTCAGTTAATGTACATATGACAGTAATGTACGGAAAAATCAATTAAAGACGTAATTAATTAAAGACGTAATCAAACAGACGATGAGCACTGTTAACAGCAATTATTATATGATGCAATCAAACTTATAGCAAAATGTGGTAGTTCTGTATGTTGTTTCAGGGTTGGCATCATCTGAGGTCCTCTGAGGGGTTATGTCAGAGGATATAATAAAGAATAATTTCTGAAGGATCATGTGACACTGAAGTCTGGAGTAATGATGAAAAATTCAGCTTTGTGGCACAGGACCAAATTACATTTTAATATACATTACAATAGGAAACAATTATTTGAAATATTATTATTTACATTTCCAAATATTCATTTTGCCATTAATTGTAATAATCCAGTGAGATTTTTGTCTGACAACAGCAAGTGCTCCACACAGAGATCTGATCATAATCCAGTCTGTCTGCAATGACATGAAGAAACAAAACACACTGAGACAGACTCAATCCAGAAGTCCAAGATGCTTCAAGAAACGTGTGTGTGTGTGTTTTTTGATTTATGAGGACACAAATTTGTATAATGACATGGGTATGACATAGGTATTACAACGAGAAGGTGATTTTAAAGAAGAGTGAATGATTTGTCCACGTTTTTCTTTTTTCATCGCTGTTGTTGTAATGTATTGGGAAGCCAGAATGCGCATCCATCAACAGAAACATACATTTGCCGAAGCCTGTTTGTTTTACGTGTTTTTTATAGCAAACCATATTACAGACGCGTTGTCAGATTTAAGTTGAACCGCGGTCCTAGCGCGTGCCGAACCGTGTGTAGAGAACCGTACGGTTCGATTTTTTCCCGCGAACCGTTCCACCCCTAATATATATATACACAAACACACACATTGTTTTTTTCCCTTAAATCTCCCACTAGCTGATGCATTAATCCATTTTAAAATTGTAAAATATATTAAAATACAAAACAGTTATTTTTAAATTGTAATATTTTACTGCTTTTTTATCAAATAAATGAAGCCTTGAAATCTTGCCTACCCAAACTTTTCACTGATAATGTACATTTGCATTTAGCATACATGATTTGATCAGCCAAAAATGACAATTCTGTCATTGTTACTAAATCCTTAAATTGTTGCAAACCGATATCAATTGCTTTCTTCTGAATATTTTGAATAACACTGGTGTCCAAACAACATTGGAGACATTTTTTTAAATATCTTAAGTGTTCCATAGAAGAAAAAAGCCTAACAGTTTTGCTATGACATGAGGGTGAGTAAGTGATGAGAGAATTTTTATTTTGGGGTGAACTATCCCTTTCAGACCAACTGTAAATGGAGCTTAAATGTCAGAGAGAGAGCAGAAAATGGTCATGGAAAACATTAACATTTTAACATTATAATTACACTTTGGGTCAAATAAACTGTTACAAAGTGTAAAATATGAGCACTTTAAATCATGCAAGCAAATATGCTGCTTAATTTGAATGTTGCAGGCCACATATGAAGCGCTCGGAGCTTCAGCAGAACTCTGGGATACCCCAGATTATGTGTTCAGTGCAAGTGTGAACACGCTATAAGAAAGTGTGGGTGGACGTGTCAAGACACGCTGGAAATCGACACTCACCTTCAAACGTCTCAAGTATGTGTACCGTGTCCCCCACCTGAAGACTCAGCTCTGGCTCTCCTCTGGCATCATAGTTATAGATAGCTGAAAATGAGACAAAAGGGTGTCACAGACTGCAGAGAGCAAAGAGAAACCAAAAAATAAAAACAACAAGGCTGCTGTCTGTCCTGTGAAAGAGGAAAAAAATGACAGCGCACCAACTGTTGAACAAGTTCTTGAGTGGAAAGTTCTCAAGTTCTGCAGGGAAACAGCCACTTGACATGTCTGACGTCTGTCAGTATGACTCAGATCTTCAAAGTAACAGCCAAATGCAACCCAAACTCCCAATGAGATTACAATAAAAAAAGATTTTTAGAAAATAATGTGAGTTTCTCTTGTTGCTTAACGCTTCTCATTGCAAGTACAGGAAGACTGTAGGCACAACTCCAAATACACATCAAAGCAAGGCAAACTCAAGAGCAGATGCATATACTTATTCAATTAAATCACAGCCTTTGCTATTTCAAAATTGTACTAATCCATATCATGAATATAGTTTTATTTCAATTAATCGTGCAGTGGGCCTAAGTCAAAAAAGCCCACATCAAGTCTGTATAATATAATAAAGACATAGTTTGGGTCCCTCCAACAGGGTCACCAAAAGTAATAGCAATGCTTGCCTTGGCAAACACCTCTTAAACCACATATCTGAGTCAGTTTACCATACTGTAAGGGTTACACCAGACAATAGGAGAGTTTGTGCTGTACTTGGATGCAATATTGGCTTGCACAAACAGCATCTGAAATGTTGGGCACAGTGCAAGTGCTGATTCGTGGAATGTGAACACACTAAGAGGCGCTGAGTGCTTTCCTCTTACTAGTAGTAACATTTTTTGGGCTGTTGAACTGCAGATGAACCTGAGCCTGTCTCATGTAATCGCTCAATCAGTGTTTCAGCCACGCAAAGACGTCAATATAACGGCTTGTAAACAATGTCACGTAACATCACATTTACCTCAGAAACAAACATATTCTGTGACCATAAACTCATTAGTCAGCTAGACAAATAAACTGTAGAGAGGGGCATTTTGATAAATATATGCACCATATAATATATTCATTATAACTTTTACTGTTCATGTTTAATTTATATTTTTTATGACAGCCACCATTTAAATAATTATATATTTTTTTAAACAAATTGAAATAGAAATATTATGTAATTGTAACTTTTATTATAAAACTTCATTAAGTGTAATTTAAGCAATTCAAGACAGTTTTCATCAGTTTTCATTTTAAATCAGTCAGTTTTCAAATCAGTCAGTTTTAACCTTCAATATTATAGCAATGTAGTACCAACGGACTCTCATGCATATTTACAGCATTAGTTAAGAGATTTTTTTTTCCTTGAGAAAATTTGGCATGTGTACCTGATATATACAGGTGCATCTCAATAAATTAGAATGTCGTGGAAAAGTTCATTTATTTCAGTAATTCAACTCAAATTGTGAAACGTGTGTATTAATTAAATTCAATGCACACAGACTGAAGTAGTTTAAGTCTTTGGTCCTTATGAACGTTTTATTCATCAAAGAATCCTGAAAAATACATATATAGACTGGTTTTTGCACAAAAATATGAAGCTGCACAACTGTTTTCAACACTGATAAATGATCAGCAAATCAGCATATTAAAATGATTTCTGAAGGATCATGTGACATTGACTGGAATAAAGATGCGTTACATCAAGGGTAAATGCATAATTTACTCCCCCCGCCTTGCATTAAACAATAAAAACTACTGCTAAAAAAAAATAATAAGATTTTTCAATGCCACACTATCTACAGCGCACTGACACTCAGCCCAAGGGAAAATGTTTCAGGCCTTGTTCAGGCATGCACATTGTTCAGTTCAAATGAAGACTCATAGATAAACCGAAAAGCTTGAGGCTACGTTTCACAACATGCTTCCACGAGTGCACTGCAGATCTCAAGCACACTCAACTGATAAATCTGTCCGCTTCTTCTTCAAAGCAAAGTATGAAGCAACTTTTCATTTCCGGTTAATCTGCAGCTAAATTTCCATAGAACAAGCTCATTGTAATCTGACATATTATGCTCACAGTGAAGAAAAGAAAATGCCTCCATATCTCGTAACTTCTGCAACTCGTAAAATCAGCCCATAAACTTCGGTCTGGTTTTCTCAGATTAATCATTCATAATGCAGGTGCATGAAATTTCCCGTCCACACCCAAACAAATCCAGACCTCACTAAGGAGTGCCAAAGACAAAGAATTTCATCACCCCTGGCTACATTTAATATGCTCAACTAAAAAAAAAATGTGTGTCATTAAGACAAAAATACCATATTAAGACATTTTATCACTTAAAAAAACTGCCACAGTCCAGGCATCACAGACAATGATTCAGTTCACACACTAGGCTCTATTTGAGCGTGTGATTTGTTGTCTCGGCCAAATGGGCCATAGATGTGTCACAGTGTTGAGGCCTAGTGCATGCTGGGATGTGGGCTGTGCTAACAGGCTCCATTCTGACCGGTCTTTGTATGCGCTCATCTATGATAGGCAGGCAGGCCACACATTTTCATATGCTTTGCTCAAGTGCAATGATGAACCGGGCCATTTCAGAGAGCAGTTTTGATTGCACAGTGTAACTAATGCCTTGTGGTTATAGTGACATGAAGAAATAGTGCTGACATTATGGTGCAAAAACAACACAAATGTGTGTGAGTTCAGACACAACAAAAATATTCTCAGAAGTGGAAGTTGTCATAGTTCTATAGTGGTGCACGGAAACTACAAGAAATATAATACCTGCATTCCCATTTGCTCCAATAGCGAGAGAAAAACCATGCTAGTGTTTCTATGACCTTGTAAAAGAGGAAAAAATACAGAGAGGTTGGTTACATTGGTCAGAAGACAGAAAGATGTCAAATTTGCCCTGAGCTGTTGTATTACAAACACTTGCACATCAGCTTTACCAATTTTTCTGTAATTTAATGTCAAAGTGATATAACACAAAGTATAGTGTGATAAACATACATTAAATTTAAAATAAAAATTAAAAACTTAAAGCTGCAGTCCGTAACTTTTGGCGCTCTAGCAGCTAATAAACAGAACTGCGTGCGTCTTGTGGAAGAACATTGTAGCCGGAGCTACTTCTCTCTGTTTATGTCTATGGCGAATCACGCAGGTACTGGGCTACTCCGCAGTGGTACCTATCCGAACCAGTCTAAACAGTCCGAATATAAACACTTATTATAGGTGTACCGTAGTGATTCAGAGCAAGCCAAAAACACGGTTTGGAAAATGAATGCAGCTTTAAGAACTGCAGAAATGCATCATTAAGGGTCCATAATTCCAAATGCACAAAAAAGGATATTTTTATTACCAATTCCTCACCAGACGCAAAAAGCACTTTTATTCAAATTCCTCAAATGTATGTCAAAGTCCTCAGGGGCGGGAAAATTGGCCCAGTAGGAACCAGACTGCTTGATGTCTGACCAACAGATTACATATCCCTTAAGAATGCTCCACCACAACAATCGTCCCTGTGTGCGTTAAACTGGCCAGCTGACCGCTCTTGGCATGAACAGTAAGTACAGTATTGCACCGCACCACAGCAACAGAATAAATACACGTGCAACAGCCAGGGTCAGAAAGACGCAGCACTCAGGGCAAAAAGGTCAACAAATGCAGTCCAAATATTAAAATGTGTTCTGAGTCTGCTATCTAACATGTACATTATGTCATAATGCTATATTCAGGCCTGTCAGGTGGAAAAAAGGTGGCCAAACTTTCGAATAGTAGGGTTTGTTTTTATTATGAGAATAATACATTTTGTCCAAACAGTTGACACATTCAGACTCAAACCATTCATTTGTACATTGACTGTTCCAATAAATAACATATGCAAAAGCTGTCAGATTTGCTCTACAATTCGTTTCTATAATTATTATTTCAAAGGCTTTTTTTGTTTTTAAAGAACATGAAGAAGACAAGGACTTGAGACCAGCAGAGCGTGTACTTTGTTACGATATCGTGTGCATGTGAAGTTGATTTAATTTGACAGGCAACAACTATTATTGTTCTGAGAATTTATTTCAGTAAATACAACTGAAGCATGTGACATAAATTGGATGGTTGCAACTGGAAGTATAGCATGACAACTAACCACAAATGTACAGTATCTAAATGCCCTTATCAAGCCGCAAACAATAATAAAGCACATTTGCAAAACAACCCAGCCATTAAGCAGTGTGAGCTAAAAGAGTTCATTCTGTTTGCTTTTATGGGTGTTAACCTGAGCTCATGTTCACAGATTAAAGTGACTGGAAGGGAAATGCTGTATATGAACTGGAACTCTGGCGGCTCTGTTGCTGTATTTATTGTAATTGTATTGTCCTGTCAAACAACATTCACTCAACTGTGTACTTATAAACAAACTACAGTAAAACAAATATATTGTTTGTGACCCGAAAGTACAATGAGACAACCATCCAAACTTCTCTTACAAAATATGTCAACAAAGCCATTGTCCTGTTGATGTATTAAAGCATCTGAGTAGTTCATGTATGATAACTGACAACTTTCCATACAGGTATCAGAAGCGCGTGGTGTGTGTGTTCAGGTAAAGGTGCGGCTGAACGCTCCTCACACTCCAACGCGACTTTCCAGAGTGAAACATTGAGTAAAAACTAACAAAAGCGCGTTGAAAGTCACTCACCCACTCCATATTTCTCTCTTTTAGTGGGAATCCAGAGCGTCATGGCAGGAAACCTTGAGTGAAGTGAAATAAATCATCAACAATAATAGTGTTGTGGAGTTGTAGGGCTGCAGCGGTCCGCGCATCACAGTTCCGGTGTTACGCAAAGTACCGCTCGCTGCGCGCGTGTGTGACGCACGCACCCTCACACACACACACACCCACGCACGCACACACACACACACACACACACAACGCACCCACACACCCACACACACACACACACCCACGCACACACACACACACACACACACACACACACACAAGCAGACCGTAAAGTTCGTGATCATGTGAAATCTAAGTTATTTGAAATCCAAAAGTTTGCTTACTTATTCTTTTTTCATTTTTAAATACTGAAAATAGTACTAAAAATACTAAAAGTTAACGTTATTGACATTATGCAACGGTTCAGTTCAACTAATAGGGCCTATAAGCAAAGTTACAAATATTCAAATATTTAATTTTGAATATTTATATTGATATCTTTATATTGAATATTTATCTATGTAAATATTAGATAGATAGATAGATAGATAGATAGATAGATAGATAGATAGATAGATAGATAGATAGATAGATAGATAGATAGATAGATAGATAGATAGATAGATAGATAGACGGATGGATTCTTTATTTAGATTTTAATTAAATATTTGAATATTTCTAAATGCTATATCATCATATAATAGCTATTTATATTTAATATATATTCCAGATTTAATACATGCATACATATTATATTGTTATATTATATTATATTATATTATTTATAACATTTCTCTTTTGTGTGTGTGTGTGTGTGTGGGTGTGGGTGTGTGTGTGTGTGTGTGGGTGTGTGTGTGTGATGAACAATGAACAATGAAACTAACATTGACTTTGAGTCATAAATATTCCTTAAACCTTTCATTAGGCATTATATTTTTATTTTTCTATTATTTATGTATTTTTTTTATTTTTCCATTTTCTATTTAGTACAGTTCCCCCAAACTATCCATCATTTTATCAGGGTGAAAAATTGCTATCTTCTTTTTTTTTTATTTTATTTTAGATTTAGTACAAGGATTTCATTATTCGAGGAATATTTTCATGGACAGTGAACTGAGCCAGAATGAGATGAGATGGGAAAGAATGTTTGGAATCTTCTATTGTTACAGCAACTGCTGCGTCTCTCTCTCTCTCTCTCTCTCTCTCTCTCTCTCTCTCTCTCTGTGTCTCTGTCTCTCTCTCTCTGTGAGTGTGTGTTTGTGCAGTCATGTGTAGGTTTATAGGCAAAACAAGGATTTGACACCAGAAAGCAATCAGTGACGTGTCACAGGTCCTGTGTAGTTTTATCTAACGAGAGAACAGAAAACACACAGTTACAGAAAGTGCTGTATGTTGAAGGGCTGGCTTCCCCATCCCCCGGTTCCTGCAGGGCCCCAGCTGTTTAAGTGTGGATTTAACTAACTACCCGCCTCATATGATTGCCACTTCTGTGTCTCTGGTTTATTCGAACAAAACAAATTCCATGATCCTTCTGCAAACACAGAGACCTTCTGTTGCCAACCAAATGTGTTGAGAGAACATTCTGTCATTCTCTGCCTTCAATTCTGTACCAACTCAAGGATTGGATGAATCAGTTTGATCCAATCATCAAGTTAAAACAAGATAAAACTGCTCTGAATATTTTACGTGTAACTTAATTGCCCTTTAAATATCATTTAATATCAACATATCAGTGACAATCTTTAATGCACTTCAGATGTAAACAGGAGAACTGAAATACACACAGAATGAATCAGGCCTAATGATAGAATGTCAAATTAAGAGTCATTTCACCCAGGCCTCCAAAGGGCTCCAGGCTTGATAGTCTTTGTTTTTGACAGGGACAGAGGGCCATCTAGTGTTCTCTCTATACTCAATACTTTAATCTCAGTGTTTTATTCAGATCAGATATTCTGAAAAGCGTAAAAGAGTGAACATTATGGTATCAATAATGCCATAGATCTACAAATGTAATATCTTATTTGATTTGATTTGATTTATTTTTGTTTAACAATAGGTTATTATTATTTTTATTATTATTATCATTATATTGAAGGTTAAATATAATGCCTGGATGTTTTTCTGGACTCTGGATCATAAACAGCATGAATGGAATCAGAAGGTTGCTACCGGTCAACATTACAGAATACATAAAAAAAAATAATAATAATTTATATATTTTAGCCAATTGTGCATAATGTTAAATTGATTTAAAAAAAAAAAAATTATAATAATAATTTAATTAGCAGTATGATTTATTTATTTATTTATTTTTTTGGGTCACAAACAGCTTTAATGGAATCTGACCAGTGATTGTTAGCTGTCAACATTACAGAACGCCATTTAATTTATATATTTAGCCAACTGTGTGTAATGTTAATTTGCTAAAAATAGGGGAAATGGTTATTTTTGTACTGGGTTTTTTTCATTGTTGTTTTTAACCAGTTCTTTACGGTCATTGACTGAGGAATGTGACCTTTAGCCGGCCCAGCACACAAAACATTCAGACTCAAAGCCAAAGTATCCTGGAGTGTTTAACAGACGACAAACACAGTTAGCAGAGGAAGATGTTACGGTAATACTTTACTGTGTACTGCTAAGAAAAAAACAACATTATGACAGGAAAATAAACTATTCTTATATTGTAGAAATAGAGGATTATTGTCTATATGTAAACATAAAATGATCTATTCTAATTGTTTTTATATTTTAACAAGTCTGCAACTGCAATATTTGGGCAAAAACACAATTGGCAAAGAAATAAAAACAGCATTGTATAGTCGAGGTCTGTGTTTACAAATCACTGGTCATGGTTTACATATTGTACAAAAAAAAACTTTAGAATTTCATCAACAAATACTGAGTGACACACAAAATGTATTTCTTTATTGCATTTTGTGGGCCAAAATATCTAAATATTTCAATGATACAAAATGTCTGATGCATTTCTCTGGTGATGTATGACCATTCTGATGTAAAGCAGTGCTGATAGTGTCCAGTTAGGGGAGCTATTGTACTTCAGAGCTCCACATCTGCAGAAGGTTTTGAAGTTTTGTATGAGACAGACTGCCCTGCGGGGGTTTTGCGGGCACAGTGGTCTAGGGCCAGCCCACACCAAACCTAAACAGGCCCAGAGCCCACAGCTTTGGGCTCACCATGGGCTCTCTGTTGAGCAGCCCACACTAGGCGACTGCCCACATTAATCCAATGATGGCCCAAAGCAACTTTTGTACCTTTGGGCCCATGCAGGTTTTTGTGTAGGCAGCCCTGTAATGCAACTGGGAGAATACTAACATTGACTGGCCATTCTTTAGTCACTCACTTTTGGCTCAAACCAAAAGACACCTTTTCAGAACCTGTTGTTTCATATAGGCCAGGGATCCTCAAATAAATCTGCCTCACGACATCCACTTTCCTGCAGAGTTCAGCTCTAACCCTAATCAAACACACCTACGCATGCTAATCAGTGTCTTCAGGATCATTAGAAAATCACAGGTGGGTGAGTTTTGATCAAAGTAGGAGCTAAACCCTGCAGGAAAGTGTGTTTAATGAGCCAGATTTGAGGATCCCTGATATAGGCCGATTTGCTTTTCAGAGGCTGTTTGAAAGTGCTCGTTTCAGCCAAGTCCTCCTGCTTCTGAAGTTGAGAGTGGCTGCGGAATTCAAGAGACAGATCGGGTGGATGAAAGGAGGGCTACCACCGTCTGCTGACTAGCTGGGAGACCTCAGGGGAAGAGTGAGCTCCGCCAAAGAATACTTTAGCACATCAAAACATTTTCAGCAGAGGTCAACGTAATAATTTGGGGTTTTTTATTATGTTAATTTGTATTATTTTTATATTTGTATAGATTTGTAGTCCCTTTCAGAGTGTCCCTTTCTATTTTGAATTTCATAAATCCATTGATTTGATATTTTTGACAATACAGACATTAGTTATGTGTTGACCGCATCCATTTCTGATGTATGATAACTGTTTTTTTCCAAAGACTTAAGTTATAGTGAAACAGGTTTATTGTTGTAGATTAATAGTGCGGGCCCTGTGTGGGCATAGTGAGGGCTTCCTGTGCAGGGCCAGCCTGCATGGGGCCCTTAGGCTAGCCCTAAGTGGGCCCGTAAAGAGCCACCGCAGGCTTGTTTGCAGGGTGTCAAGTGCTGAAGCTTTTATCAAATGAGAGGCTAAAGGTATGAAAATACTGAAGGGTTTGGGATACTTGACTGACTGATAAAACAATTGTATGGAAATCTGCATGTATTGTAGGCTTCGATTTGGATGTTTCCTGCCACTTTCAAATAACCTTTTACAACTATATTCATTTTCCGCAAAACACTCTATCCTTCCTGTCAATTTCTCTTAATATTTCTAACCCAAATCACGCATTGGTTTCGTCTTGACCTCCTCCTCAGGAATCTTCTCGTCAGCTTGTGCTGTTAAAAAAAATATCCATTTTCTCAACAATCAATAGCGTGTGTTTCCTCAGCAGAATCAAGTGCTTGGTCCTTATTTTTCTATCGGGGTCATGAGGTTTGTTCCCTCCCGGTGTTAGTATTTATAGCGCATTCAACAGATATTTTCAGTCAAATATCGATCTTTCCTTACGCAGATCATTTATTTTACAACAACCAAGAGGAAAATAATATTGCTCTTTTGTAGCTCAGGTGACTTCACAGAGTTCTTTTACTGTAAGTATCAGTTTTGGCTTGGATGTTTCTCCTGAAATCTTAATAAATAAATAAAATAAACAATACAGTGACACTTTACAATAAGGTTCCATTTGTTAACTGCATTAGTTAAAGGGATAGTTCACCCAAAATTGAAAATTGTCATAATTTACTCACCCTCAAGTTGTTCCAAACCTGTATGAGTTTTTTCTTCCACTGAACACAAAAGAAGATATTTTGTAGAATGTTTGTAACCAAACAACTTAACTTCCATAGTATGGGGAAAACGAGTCTACTATGAAAGTCAATGGGGACCAGCAGATGTTTGGTTACGAACATTCTGCAAAATATCTTCTTTTGTGTTCAGCAGATTAAAAAAAATTAATAGTTAACCAATGTTCACAAAGT